GCTAATGTATATTTCAATAAATTAAACTTTAGATGAAATTATGTTGAAAAAAATCATATCACAGAAAGAAATTGAATGTATGACAAACACAGTTTAGATTGGAAAGATTAGTGAGGTGGATAGAGCAGTTATCTCCCAACCGGAAAGTTGAAGGTTTGAATCTCGGTGCCTGCAGTCCACATGTCGAAGTGTCCTTGGGCAAGACACTGAACCCACCTGTTGCCCCCGATGGTTAGAGCCACTGGTTGAGCTGGTGCCACAGATGGCTGGTATCGGTTCTGTACTGGAAACAAAATTCCTTGTGTGTAACATACTTGGCCAATAAAGGTGATTATCTTTATAAAAAGCTGAATTTTCTGTAGTTTTAAAAAATAACATGATCATGAAATAAGCTAAAATTACTGATTTTTGTATTAAAAAATATTTTTGTGAGGGAGTATTTCATGTGGTCTGTATAGAGGCCACTGGGTATTGGTGCAGGATTTTGTTGCTGTGTGTACAACCACATACAACAAAAAAAGCAAAGTGAAGATTGTTTTTCCAAAGAGAAAGCGCTAGTGGACTTGATCATGAAGAAGACACATTAACTCATAGTTTCAGTGATTAATATCACCAAGAGGTTAAAACTGAAGAGTGTGGATTCTCTTAAAATGTTAATGCTGCTGATGTAAATAATGTCACATACAGTATTTAGAAACATTTCATTGTTTTTAAACTGTAACACGTTACATATATTATAAGCAAAACAGAGCAGGCCAGTCTCCACGACCCATTTTAGTGAGCTAAGGACTTTATGTAAATCCAAAAATTATGTTGAATTAATTAGGAAGTTTTTTACAAATATATCCACCTTTAAATAAATTGATATAAATAAAAGTGTTGTGTGGTCATTTTATTTTACTTCATTACAACAAGCTACAAATTAAAGCCTAACAAAATGGTTGATGGATGATTTACCCTGAAAAAACTGCATAAACAAGCAAAAATTTGCATTTATTTATCATATATGTTCATAGCAGGTTAATTTCACCATCCAGGTTGTTGTATTTTGTCTGGGTCCATTGTTTTTGACCAAGTGACCAGTATTTAGTTTATTTACATGTTTAATATTTCATAATAATATTTCTCAGCAACAATTTTCAGGATTTTAATAATGTAGGGACAAAACTTTATTGTGTGGTCATTTTATTCTACTTCATTACAGACAAGGAAGCTCCTTACAATGCATGGTGGGTTTCACCCCAAGTCCAGCATCCTGAGGCTATACACTAAGCGGAAGGAAGGAGGCAGAGGAGTAGTGAGTGTCAGAGCAACTATCCAGGATGAAACAACAAAAATCTATGAATACATCAGGAAGATGGCCCAGAGTGATGACATGCTTAGTGAATACCTCAGGCAGCAGAAACCAGAGATCAGTGATGCTAGTAGCAGCATATACTACTCTCAGTCAGTCCAAGGCCGGTTCACCATCTCCAGAGACAACAACAGAAACCAGCTGTATCTGCAGATGAACAGTCTGAAGACTGAAGATTCTGCTGTTTATTATTGTGCTCGAGAGCCACAGTGACTGGAGCTGGTTGAGCAGCTGTACAAAATCCTCCAACAGCCATCAGACTTCCATTGTTTTTCATGACTGACATCTTCAGTTTAGGTAGTTTAAGAAAATGAAATGATTTCATCCAACCCAAACATACTTTTTGGAACATGTGAAATTTAAATTTATCTTTAATGGTGCATTTTTGGGAGGAGAATATTTGAGTATTTAATATGTACTAACTATGTTATTCAGTGACAGAGCCTTACATCATTAAAAATAATCCTCAAAGAATGCAGTCACAGTTCTACAAACCACAACTGTACAGCATAGTCTGCATGAGGTTAGTGTGATACCATTTTATTTTGACCTGCAGTCCTACCTGCTGAGACTGTAAATGCCAGTGCAATGTTTTTTCTTTGCCTGGTAATGTTGTTTATCTAATGTATGGCAAATGTATACAGGATGTAAAAATGAGTTGAGTGGTGGTTGTGGACTGAGAAAATGAACAAAGCTTCAAGCTCCATGTCAACAACATAACTGGCTCACACTGTATAAACTTGATGTGATTTAAAACAAAGCAGCAGATATTAAGCTTTCCACTAACTTAATTTGTCAAATCAAAGTCCTGAAAACTGTGTCAGGAAAATGTAGACAAATTTAACTTAATCCAACAACATCACTTTGATCTTATTGAGTTCTATGTATAATCAACTAGTATGTAACCAAAACCTCTCTACAGAAATAAAACATTTTTAATCTTTCAGTATTTGTTGCAAAGTTGCTGCATTTTATGTCATTAAAATGCCAGAGATTTGGGTTTTATAGTACTTATTACAATAAAAAGTATTTTTGACATTTAGGAGGTTTTATAATTTATGAAAAAAGCTTTTAGAAACAATAGTAATGTTTAACTGTGTATATGAAATTGTGTATTTGCACGGCATTAAGCCACAGTATCTTTTTTTCTAGACTAAAGCTGGAGAGATAATCCATAAGAGACTTCATCCCTTCGTTCTGGCATACACAGATCGTGACTGATCAGAGTTTACACAGACACACACACACAGACACACGCACTAAAAAAAGAAACCAAATGATTTAGCATCATAAGGCAGTGAATTAATATTTTTCAACTAAGAAATTCACAAATACAAGTATCCAGGTCTCAGCTGTCATCATGAGTCTAAAACAACCCTGCATTTTTCTCAGAGGAGGAACAAAGAGACAGGTAAGTCATTATGCTTATATGGGTTTACAATAAACTTTATTGGTTTTGTGTTTTTTAATGGCTTTAGCTTAAGAGTTGATATTATTATTATTATCATTATTTGTTAATCATTTATGAATCAAACATTGTTTTATTATTATGGTCATTCTTATATAAGGTTATTTACCCAAAAGCAACTTCAGTTGTTGAGGGGCATTAACAGTCTCAACAAAAAATGTCTATTGTGTGCTTACTCCACAGGGATTTTATTTTTCATCTGTAACGCTCACAAAATATACTTATACTGTATATTTTGAGAGGTTACTGCCTTGCAGAAGGACACATACTGTAGATCAGTGGTCCCCAACCCCCGGGCCGCGGACCGGTACCGGTCCGTGGATCAATTGGTACCGGGCCGCACAAGAAATCATTAATTATTTCCGTTTTATTTATTATCTGAGTCTGAACGATCTTTTATTTTGAAAAATGACCGCATTCTCTCGGTTACATCTGGTCACTTGAGCGCCAAAACTGGCTTACTTGTGCGACATATTCAGCCTGCTCAATGAACTCAATCTGTCACTTCAGGGGAAAATGACAACTGTCTTCAAGTTGGCAGATAAAGTAGCTGCATTTAAAGCCAAACTGGATTTGTGGGGACGGCGCGTCAACAGAGGCATTTTGGACATGTTTCAAACATGAGACTTTGGGTGAGACTGAGCCTGAGTCTTCATTCTCCCAGCTGGTGCACGATCACATGTCTTTGCTTTTAAAAGAGTTCGAGCGCTACTTCCCAACCACAAAGGACCCACGAACTGCCAAGGAAGGGATCCGCAACCCATTTGTCAACAAACCAGGTGAATCCAGCAGGTCTGTGCAAGAAGAAGATCAACTGCTGGAGATCGCAAATGACGGCGGCCTTAAAAGTATGTTCGAGACAACAACTCTGTCGGTGTTCTGGATTAAAGTCATGACAGAATACCCTGAGATCGCCACCACAGCACTGAAAACCCTGTTGCCATTTCCGACATCCTATCTGTGTGAAGCGGGTTTTTCTGCAGTGACAGCAACCAAAACAAAACAACGGAGTAGACTGAACATAAGCAACACACTTCGGGTGTCATTGTCTCCTATTACCCCCACATGGGACCGTCTCGTTGCAGAGAAACAAGCTCAGGGCTCCCATTGATTTAGCGTTATGGGGAGTTAAAAATTTCAACACAGTGGATTCACG